AGGGACACTGCTGAGGTGTGGAGGCAGCATGCTGACTTCGCACAAAGTCCTCTACTTGGTCAGTTGGTTGGTTGCACACAGAAGCTAGTGCTAAACAGTCCTACAACTCCTGAAGGGTCTGAAAGTGCCACTACTAGAGTCAAGCTGGAGCAACTGTTCCCACTCTTCCAGCAAATCTGCAGTTCCTAAGCTCTTTAAAATACTTCTCCCACCACATGTGTATTCCTGACAGTCTCTTCCCTTCATCGCACCCACTCTCCAGCCCAGTACTTTCAAAAGCCTCCTTTCTGTGGTCTTTAAAAACAAGCAAGCAAGCTAAAGAACAGAAGGAAACCAAAACTTGTTTCAACACTGCAGCTCTCCTCCCCCAAAACAGATGATCCTCGTCTCCATGCAATTTACATTTGCATATTAAACCTTCCTGCCAATTCATCCATCCCCTGAAACATGGCCTGGTTTGACCCTTTTCTCATACTTGATGACTACTCCTTCCCCTTAGACCATAGTCCAGCTGCAGCAGAAAAGGTGGCCTGTGAAAGCCAACCCTCAGTGCAGACACAGAGGTGCGGGCATTCCCAAATACCCTGTGTGGGGTTTGGAGCACACCCATCAGTTCACGCCCAACCCTTGCCAGATTCCAGGAGCATGCACAGTAGGCAACAAGACAACTGTGAGCACTGAGCAAAAGAGAGAGTCCAGCTCATGCACTCTTCTCATCGTGAAAGTTTTGAAGCAAGGTGCATTTAACTCCAAGATCCTAGTCGTATCTATGACAAAGGTGAAAAACACTAAGCACAAAACAATTATTTACTGGAGGAAGAAAAAAAAAAAGGTCTTCTGTTAAGTGGAAGGTGTGGATCCAGCTGCTATCAACTATCAATTAAGGTGAAGGCCCTTCCTACAAAAGGCAGGCCATTTCTGCCTGGCTGTGGGAGATGCAACAACCTGTTTTGGAGCTGCAGTCTGAAGCTTTCTTCTGGTGACCCCAATGTGATGTGATATAATATAGAGAACCCCAAAGAGACCCATAAGAGCCAGAGCCAGAGTGAGAATTCCTTCATCACAGAAGGTAAAGCTACCCCAAAAGAGGAAAGTGAGAATTCTAGTTAACCCCGAAAGAGAGAAGCAAGAATTCTATTTAATTGGGTCTCTGCTCACCATGAAGTTCTAAAAACTAGTGAACAAAAAGGGGGAATTGTGGATCCAGCTGCTATCAATTGTCAATGATCAATGAAAAAACCCAAACAAAAAGGGAGAATTGTGGATTCCTTCATCAAAGCAGGTAAAGAAAAAACCTAAACAAAAAGGAATCCACAATTCTCCCTTTTTGTTTACTAGTATTTAGAACTTCATGGTGAGCAGAGACCCAATTAAACAGAATTCAATTAGAGCCAGAGCCAGAGTGAGAATTCCTTCATCAAAGAAGGTAAAGCTACCCTGAAAGAGGGAAGTGAGAATTCTCGCTTCCGTCTTTCAGGGTTGACTAGAATTCTCACTTCCCTCTTTCAGGGTAGCTTTACCTTCTTTGATGAAGGAATTCTGGCGCTGGCTCCAGCAGGGTCTCTTTTGGGTTCTCTATATTATATCACATCACGTTGGGGTCACCAGATGTCACTCACCAGAAGAAGGCTTCAGGCTGCAGCTCCAAAGCAGGTTGTTGCATCTCCTGCAGCCAGGAGGAAATGGCCTGCCTTTTGTAGGAAGGGCCTTCACATTAATTGATAATTGATAGCAGCTAGATCCACAATTCTCCCTTTTTGTTTACTTCATCAATACTTCATCAATAATTGATTAGCTGGATCGATAGCAGCTGGATCCACAGAAGGAACCAGAGGATGCCCACTTTTGCTATTAGGCAGGTAACTAGAGTAGTGAATGTTCAGTGCTTTAGCAGAGCTCCGTAACTGAAGTTCTTTCAGAAGGCTTCTGGCCCAGACAGTTCAGGTTTGGGTTGGTTTTCCTGGTTTACCTGACTGGAACAGTCTGAAATACCGGTATTAGATGCACTGAGATATTCTCCCACCACCTACATTTAGATTCGCACCATTTTTCTCACACCAAGGTTCAAACATGCAGCTTTCCTGAGCTTTATGACCAGGGTCACTCTGAGCTTAAGGTTCACCGTTCTAGTTCATGTAGTGGTTGCAGTCAGGCCCCCGCACAGCAAAATTCTAACACTTCTACATTTCATAGCTCAGAGTGTGGTTCACTGCTCCTTTAGAGAGGAAAGCGTGTTTGAAAACACAAAAGATTCCAGAAGAGATCTTGAAGTAACAGCCCTGGTTCAAATCACCCTGAACAAGCAGGGAACCACTAATAATTATAACTGTTCCTATCATCTCAACTCCACTGAAGGGCATGCGGGAGCAGAAACACTTCCGGACAGGACTTGCAGCCTTCTCTCATTTCTCCACACTACCAAATGTCAAACACAACTTCAGAAAATCTGGAACTTACGCAGTAGTGCTCTAGCAGAAACACAAGAAATTCTGTTCTTGCAGAAATGTCATTTGAGTGCTGCGAAGACTGACTATAAGTATGCACTGCTCTGCTGTGGTTTTGAAGTTACACTAGGAGCTTGTTATTCCTCAGCTCGTACTTCCTCCCACAGCGTATCTGGGTGACAACATTTGATGGCTAAATTCAAGCTGTTAGAGGACAATCTACATACTTTCTTCCCCAACTGGATGACCTTTTTAAGGAGAAACACCAAGATCTCCCAACCAAAACCATCTGCAGCAGCCTAAGTAACACTGAGAACATTCTTGCGTATCCAGTAAGTAATCTGGGGGGAGAGAAGGTGTACAGGCAGGGAGAAGAGCTATAAACTTACAGAAGCAGTTACAGAAGTTGAATGTGACAGCAAAAAAAACCTCTCACAAAAACAACTTTAAATTACTTTATTTTTTAAGTATATTAGGACAATATTTACAAAATCATGTTTCATAAATAAAAACATTTTCTTGGGTAAAGACTATAGATCTATAGATATTTAAAATGTCTATATATTTATATATACACATACGTACACATACAAATGGAAGCATGTGGTTATGAACAACTTTGGTTTTAAACTACTGGTGGGTAAGGGCTGGGTGTATCAACGATTTTTTTGAACTCTCGCTTTTTAAATTTGCACCCACAAGAAATCCAGAGCAGAGCCCTTAACACAACAACAGGACGGTGGGTTTCTCCCATTTCTGGGGCAATTGATTCTGCAGCCAGTAAATGGCCACCAGGCTCCTCAGGTTTCAGCAATGCCTTGTAACGGCTTGGCCTCATCCCACGGTGACACAAACGGGTTCTACTGCAGTTTTGTTTACAGGAGTTAACATAAAGCTATTATACATAATGGTTTTTATAAGGCAGAATACCTCAGCAGAATTCCAGTTGGTTTGTTTTGCATTTCTCAACTTTCAACTTGCCAGATGAAATCACTAGTTATAAATAGGGAGCTCTGCATGGTACTTACTTCTTACACTGAATGAATTGTTAGAAGGGAGAGTAATCTACCATCTTTAGGTAGACGGCTGTGCCTATGGAAAAACCTGTAAAAATTCATATATAGGAGCTCAAATCTTACATGAATACTCCCACTGACAAACTTTAAGGTATGAAAGTAAGTGTAAACCACACGTGCTTCTTAGATGTTTTATCATGTGAAAAACCCTCTTCGCTGCGGCCAGTTCCCCTGATTTTAGCGAGGGCTGGACTGTGGGTTGCTCGAAGCAGTTCAATCCCACAGCCCTAGCAAGAGGACTGTTTATGAGAGTAAATCTTGTAAAATCAGATACCTCCATTTTCTTTTGTTGAATTTGTGATGCAAGGTGTCTGCATCAAGACTTGGAGCTCAACATGCAGAGACCCGAATCTCTGCGACATGCACCCACAACATAGATACAAAGCTTAGTTTATAACATCCAACTCTGAGACATGCCAAATCACTCAGAATCTTCAAAAGCATGGATTTTATTACATTACTGTTTGGCAACAGCTTTCCAAACAAAGTTTTAAATTGTTAGAAGGAGAAAAGCATGTGTGCCTTTGAAATATATTACCTTAGTACAAATAGGAGACAGTGTCAAGATTTCTACAAAGCATACATAAAGTCCAAGAGAAGTCAACTATATTGGAACAACTCTCAAAACAGTTGTAAAACGTGGTAAAATCTCATGGAATGTGCAAGTCCTAAAAAACTGGTTTTTAACTGTACTGCTTACATATATACAGAAACTGAGCCTCCTCGCTTCTCATCGGCTCCTCCTACTTTTTATTTTATGTATTTGTGACGTAATGGCAGCATCACAAACTTGGGTCAGAAATTAAATAGCTCCTTTTTCCATTCAAGAAAACAGACACTAAAACTCTAAAATAGGACAACTGAAATAAATAGGACAACTCCTATTTTTATGAAGGATCCATGAGTTTTACAAATTCACTGAGATAAGAAAGTCTGAAAATTGCTTCCAGTACCACACACTGCACAACAAGAACACACACAAGAACCACATTCGGCATGAAAATTACTAGCTGCTGTGCTCCAGAATTCCAGTGCTGAATTAGGCTCCAACAGCTGAGCAGTTTCTCATCAAAGAATACAGAAGAGGCACGGAGAGCTCTCTCACTGGACTAAAACATCAGCCACCAGAGCGTACATGACTACTGCCCATGGAGAGGAATACTACTGTTTCGTGGAATTAGGAGAAATCGGTTAATAAGGAGAGCTGGGAGTAAACTTTCTACTTACGCAACTTTGTGTATAAGCACTTTATTTATTTTTGTATAAAAGTTTTGCTGAATGTCAGAAAAGATGTGTTTGTACAGTCTCTGCTTCCTGCTTGTATCACAGACATATGCCCATACCTTGCCCATGCACACAAATAAAGAAAACAATAGTCTAAATGGTATTGCAATCCTTGGGCTGAGCAGGCCCAGTATCAAAGCAGTGACTAATGATAGTTTTTGAAAATAATACCACTAAGGATTACTGCAGGGAGACCCTGTAGCGAGTGGGCAAACAGTGCTTTTTATATTCTCACTCTCAACCATATCATATATACCATAACAAAAGAAAATAAAGATCACATGTGGGCAAACGCACATGTTCCTCGCTACAGCTGCTGTGACTATAAAATTACATCGTTTATATCAAAAGCACTTTTGCCACACATGCAAAACAACTAGTTTCCTGAATTTCTTCTCGTTGAGTAGTGCATCTTCAAGGCCACGGTGTAACAACGGTGTACTTTTCACACATCACTTCGCTCTGCTGTTCTGGATTTAAAAAAAAAAAAGACGACTGTTTGGGAAGAGCAGCAACATTTTGTGCTGCCTACACAAGTGACAGCTTAAAAAAATGATTTTTTTTTTTTTTCCACTTCAAACTTTGAAAGCATGCTTAGCACTGCAATAATGGAGAAGAGAAGTACTAACAGTAAGCAGTTTCAGTCTTTCCACAACAGAAAAGCGGATGCAGTCTTGGAGCTCCGACTCATGAATTGGAGTAAGCTACAGCAGTTCCCAGACTTAGCTGTCTGATCCATGCTACTTGCAAGCTAGCATGCTTCAGGATCTGACTCATTGTGTGTGTGCATGCATATGTCTGAACTTCCAAGGGAAGGTTAAGGTAGAAAGCAGATAGAGCTCAAAAGGTTCCTGCCTCCAGCTTGCAAGTCAGAGCCCTTGCTGACAATCTGTAAAACATTGTTATTTTTAGGAGCCATCTTTTGGGGCAGAAGCAGCAGACAGATCTCTAACCCTACCCTAAAGTCAAGATTAAATGGGTAATTAGCAATTTCTTTGCTTTTGGAAGCTCTGCCTCAACACTAGAAGAGGAGATAGGTTTTTATAAGGCTAAAGGAGACCCAAGAAGAAACAGTCAACTTATTTAAATTGGATCTCCAAGCAAAACTCTCCCTTGTTCTTCAGTAGTACAAGATCCCACCCTTATCTCCCTTCTGGTCAGTTTTGAATACAATAGACTGGCAAATACCTATTTGTTTCCTGATCTCAAATCACTGCCTTGAAGAACAAGCAAAAGACACTTCAGAAGCAGGACCTTCCTTCCACTCCTCCTACTCCAGACTATACTAACTGGTAAACATTTTATCAGTGCATTTAGGAGACACCAATGCAGTTGCCCTTTGTACTGCAAAAGTGCTCGTCTTCCTAGCGGTTTAGAAAATGACGCTATGGCATATTTGGATGAATCTGCAGTAGTCCTAAGTGACATAAACCTAGCAGTGCATGGTATTTGTAAGGAAGCCTCTTTTTAAAATAAACTGATATACCTTTTTCCAATTAGGGCTAACTAGTACCTCATTCATTGCCACATTGCCAATTCATGCCTTCTAGAAGTGGCACGATATAAAAATTCTTCAAGTAAATTAACAGATTTAGAGCGACCTTACTCTTTATGTTGACTAGCAAAAATGCTGTAATTTGATGCAGGAGTACCAGGCTAAGGGTGTAGTGATACCTTACAACAAGTTTGCTCAGTTTCCAGAAAGAAACAGAAGTACCAATAGCATCAACAAGTGCTCTTTTATCCAACTCCCACAAAAGGAAGTATGGCTTCTGAATGGAAAAGAATCAACAAAAGACCATTTAACCTTTTCAAACCCGAGCATCTAATCTCAACAATAGGCCACCCACTTTAGGTATCAGTTTGGGAATCTGGGGCCAAGTTAATACAGTCCCTCTCATTTCATGGCTTATTATAATTAGGAGGAGTCTATTTATGTGTAGTCAGTGTTGCAATCTTACAGGCTGTTAGAAAAATCAAAAAGGACTAATCCCAGCATTGAGGACATTTCAAATTGGAAGAAATCTTACGTTAGGCCAGGACACTGCAACATACATCTAAGTTTACAGTATCTGGTAGATCTTTAAATATCAAGCATAACCAATGGGTAAGAGCCACAGTGCACCTTTAGATCTTAAAGTTCAAAATTCAGGTTTGTCAAAAATAAGTTGAAGTTATTTAAGCAGTTCTTAAATTTTATTAAGATGTGTTTCAGTTCTGTTTGTTTTTAAACACTACTATCTGACCCTGAAAAATAATAAATTGTGTGAAATCTGTTTGTAATACAAACAATTTAACAAAACCCAGATAATTTAAACATCTAAAGCGGGGGGGTGGAGGAAGAGAGAAAGTCTGCTTTTAAACCACTTTCCTGTGAACTTCCACAGGAGATCACCAATTAAACACGTAGAGAAGGCTTAGTTATATTAACAACAACAAAAACTACCCCAAAAAACAAATACAACAACTCACTACCAAGGAAACAGTCCATGCATCTTACATACTATATAAACATACAGGAAGCATTCGAACTATTTGACTTTCCACATTTGATCAGAAACATACAATTTAATAGCTATCTTTGACTCATCTTCTCCACTGTTTAGAAATACCCATTCTTCCCTATGTATGATACAGAAAATATGTATTCTTTCCTTTCAGTGAAATATAATTTGATTAAGAACAGCACCCGCACTGAAACCTCTCCTCCAAGTTTCATCATTGTAGCACTGGGTAACTCTAAACATCAAAATCCCTAAACACTTTAATTAAAATAAATATCTGGAGATATATTTGGACTTACCATCATTCTAACATCACTCCTTTTGCATCTTTAAAAGCCAAGCAAATGGATTAGTAATGAGCCAAACAGCAAGAAATGCTTTATAATTAATATTCAGATTAATTCTAGAATTCAGGTTAGAATTTGCTACTACTCAGCATGCCAATTAGTGGAGAGAATAGCAAAAATAAATAAATAAATAAATGTACAATTTCAGAGTCACTTCATT